ACACACACACACACACACACACACACACACACACACACACACCTTAATCCTGTGACCTGCTGTGACCTGTTGGGATGCTGGGTTCAGGTTGTTACCTCAAAGGGGTGGGTGGGGCACTCAGGTGAGTCCAGGTAGCCCACCTGGCTCCACCACACGTCCAACCCTGACTTTGAGAGGGGGCTGTCGAGGGAGAAGCCACACTCTGCCTGGACTTGCTGCTGCTGAGCTGAGGTGGGGTCAACCTGCACGTCCAGGATGGAGGTCAGCAGACTCTCGCCCTGAATCTGGAAGTCAGAGGTCGGAGGTCAGACCCGTGCAGCCCTGCGGCGTAACCACAGCCTGCTGTGTGTGCGTCTGTGTCACGAGCATCATGTTAGCGCAGCAGATTAAAACGGATTTAAACAATGGCGTTGCTAGGCAACCCGGCATGCCACAGCGACCGAAGTCAAAGGAGCTTGCAAAGGAAGTGACAACTCCATCAAGAAAGCGACCGAAGTGACATCGTGTGCGAGGTCGCCCTCGGTGATCCCATGTTCACGCAGTTAGCACAGTCAGAGCGGCGATTTGACCGCCGATGTCTCCCTGTTCCCTCAGTGACCTTTAACCTGTCCACAGCACGACATGTTAGTGAGGAGCGTCTGACCTCAGAGCTGCTGCCCGACTGCTGACTGTCAGGATCCACGCTCCGGTCCTCCCACATCAGAGTCATCGTCAGACTGGAAGACACGGAGACCTGAGGGACACGGACGGCAGCTGATTATCGACTACGTGCTGATTACTGAGCCTGATGATTCATACTGAGCACGGCTCACCTCGCCCGGGCTCGCACTGATCTTCAGAGGAGTGGGTGTTTGAGGAGCAGATGTCAGCGACACTCTGACCTTCTCTCGGATCTCTGGGGGCGTCCTGAACACAGCAGCCCGCCTCAGTTCACTCATCAATACTGACATTGAACTGTGGCGTGCTCAGAGCGAGTGAGGTGGTGGGCGTACTGCGTGCTGGAGCTGCACTGTGGGCAGGCCTCCTCCTGATGGACGGGGTGTTGGAGGGCGCAGACGGGGGTGGAGGTGAGAGGTGGACACTGCAGCTTCAGCTTGTCAGCAGCGCACAGACTGAAGAACTAAACGAGAGAAGACATCAGAGCTGGAGAGCGAACACGCCCTCTCCGCACATGCCCGCTCCGCCCACGCCCTCTCCGCACATGCCCGCTCCGCCCACGCCCTCTCCGCACACGCCCTCTCCGCACACGCCCGCTCCGCCCACGCCCTCTCCGCCCACGCCCTCTCTGCACACGCCCGCTCGACTCACTTCTGAGGGAGAGAAGTTCAGAGCTCCCATCTGGCTGCTTCTGCTCCACGAGGGCGATGAGCAGTCGTCCTCGCCGTCCAGCTCCTGCTCTTTCATACCTGCAACCTGCACACAAACACCGGCTTTCACCTAAAGCGGCACGCCGCCCTCTGCCGGCTCGACCCGCAGCTGAAGTTCGGCTGCTACGCCAAGGTCAGCGAGGGCGCCGAGCGGCACGGTTACACCTGCCAGGCGTTAGCTCGTGCTGCCGACTGCTGCCGATTCTGCTTTCTGTTAATATTTGATTCTAAACTAAACCCCGCCTTCTTCACTGTGAGGTCAGCAGGTGTTCACTCTTACGCTGCTCTCCTTCAGGCCCATGGCGGAGAGGTGGCCGTCGTTTCTGTGCGGGCAGACGGGCAGCAGTGCTGGGGGCTGTTTCAGGGATGATGTCACTTCCTTTGAGTCGTGGCTCCATGTCTCCAGGCTCTACGATTAAAAAGTCAGGTTAGAGGTGGAGCAGAGGTGAGAACAGCGAGCCGTCAGCGAGTCTGACAGTCAGACGGTTACCACCTCCATCAGGTCCACGGACGCTACCGGTCTGCTCGTGCTCAGAGATCTGGGGGAGGAGGAGCACAGAGGGGCGGAGCTCCCGTGGCGCATGCACACGCTTTGACTGCAGGAGGCGCAGCTGGACTCGTCCTTTGAGGTAGAGAGACTGTCAGCCTGCAGGACGACATGTCAGCATTACTACCAGCACGCCACTGACCTCTGACCTCACAGACAGTGCCAGGCAGGTGGTGACCTTTGCAGGGATGCTGCAGGGGAGGCCGCAGCTCTTGGATGCCGGTGCCGAGGTGGAGGCGACGTAGGAGCTGTGGAGGCGCAGGACCTGCAGGTATCCCTCCTTCTCCACTTTTCTCTTCAGGGTGGAGTTCCAGTGGTTCTTGATGGAGTTGTCCGTCCTGAGAACACAGAGAGGTCAGCGGGTAACCACACACGAGCACTGCCCACCCGCCCCCACCGGTTCCCGTGCCTGCCGGGCAGCAGCTTGGAGATGTCGGCCCAGCGGTTTCCCAGCAGCCTGTGCGCCTGGCAGATGACGCGGTCCTCGTCCAGCGTCCAGCTGCTCTTCTTCACTGTCGGGTTTAGGTGGTTGTGCCAGCGCTCGCGGCACTGCTTCCCATTCCGGGTGTGCAGGTGTTTGGCGACCAGCGACCAGCGTTTCACGCCGTACTTCTGCACCAGCTCTCTGACCTGCACAGGAAGTGACATTGGAGCATGAGCGATGACGGATGCGACGAGGGTCTGACTCTAAGGGGGGCTCATGTGACGGTCCTCACCCTGTGATCCTCCTCCTTCGTCCACGGACCTTTGACCAGGTCTGGATTCTTTATCTGATGCCACCGCCGCTGACACTCCACTGGTGACCTTTGACCCTGAGGCAGACACAGAAGGTGGCGTATGTTCAAACTGCAGAGCCACGAGGCGCTTCCTCACCTTCACTGTAACGGTCTGTGAACTACTCTCTCACCCCGGTCACGGCTGTGGTCACAGGTCGTTTAACCGGAGTGACCCTGAAATCAAACTACTCACTCTGAAATGAAGGGAAACTGAAGACCAGCAGTTTGCGCCGAGGTCGTTCACCAGCCGCTGCAGCTTCTCGTCCTGAGGAGGGAGAGCAGTAGCTCGGTAACGCCTCCACACTGGGCCATATCATACTGTTCACGGTAACACCGGTGTAATGTTGGGCAACGATAGGAAAATGAAAGATGGCGATAGAATATGGGTAAAACGCGCATGCGCAGTGCCTTTGTTTTCATACGCACACGGCGGCGACGCAGAACGAGAAGAGCGAAAGCCGATCGTTGAATGAAACGATGAACCAGAACTGGTTTGTAAGAATGCTGCAGCTTCACTGGTGTGGAACTGGTTTAGCTTTCGTCCGTCAGATACACAACAAAGCACTATTTTTGGTAGCGCATGCTAGCGGGCCGTCGTTATTACCGTGTTGTTTGGAAAATACGGCGCACTTAAAATCATCCTTTGATTTTTCTGAAAGTCGACAGAGCCCCTTATAACCCCGTGCACCTTATGTATGAACTCTGGTTGTGTTACTGACCTCGAAACTATTTTATGTGCACGGCGCTCGAAAATCTGTCAAATGTTTCAGTACGACTTTGCTAAGCTACGAAGCCGCACCGCTTGATGGATTGTGGGAGCATTACGGCTATCGTAGGCGGAGCCTCGCGGAGTGATACGTACTGTGCTTTAACATAATGTTACCGTACTGTGTGTGTTTAACCTCTTTTTAAGTGTTGTGGATGTTATACATGGTTATGCTGAGGATGTGTCGGCCAGTTTCCACTGGAAATGCTTTTTGGTTAAACTGTCAGCACGAATTTGCACTGTTACATGTTTATATTTATTTTAATGCAGATAAAACAGCTGCTTGTTGAAGTGAAAATACATTGATGGGTTTTTCACTAATAAACTTGTGGAGTTGTAAAGCATTTTGTCTCGTGTCAATTATATCGTTATCGCAAATTTTCAAATGTATATCGTGATAAATATTTTTGGCCATATCGCCCTGCCCTACGTCCGAGCATGCTCAGTCAAAGTGTGCGACGTCGGTCTGAGCCAATCGGCTGCACCGTTGCGTTTGATAAACAATGACCAAAGCCCGAGCTTTCACAGCTCACCCGCTAACACGCGTGTGAGGTTAAAGCTGGATTTACACCAGGACAAGTCAAACACGCGGAAGCGGGACATCAACCCCAGAGTCAGCTGTGAGCGCGAGCAGAGAAGCTTCACCGTGGCAACGGGTAAATAAAGAGCAGAGCCTCCACTTTAATCACATGACGGCGTGTCAGTGCTGACCGTCATGATCGTCTTTAACGGGACAAAACATTTGATCGATTTTGGTACAGGCACAGTTTACTGATGGTTATCAGTTGCCCGTAGCAACAGACTGGATCTGCCCTCCAGTCGGTTTTTATAAGAAAGGTGCGGTTTATGACCATTTCATTTTGTCTAGCTTCTCTGCTTAGGCTGGTGCCTGACATTCACCAAGAGGGTGGAGAGCCCCACGTACCCGGGACTCTCCACCCTTTGGTTGTAGATCCAGATGCAAGGAGGAGTCCGAGACAACAGCGAGCAGCTTAGGTCACACAGTCTGTTACCATGGTAACACCCACCCACCACTTCATCTTAGAGTTGTTAGCTAACCCTGTTTCCTGGAGTACGTCCCCCAGTTTGACTCAGAGCTTTAGATTCCTGTGCCTTCATAATAAAAGTGTGCAGCTGGAGGGCTTTTACTGTGAAAGAACACAGGATGTGCACAGAGTGTTGCATCGTGTGTTACCTCGTCTTTTGTCCAGGTAGGCTTCTGTAGAGCGGCTCTGGAGAATCGACCCCCCGGGCCGTTACGTGCCCAACAGCTGGAACGACCCTTCATACTGACACAGAACACACATGCAGCCAATCAGCACGCAGCTCTCTGCATTACACTTCAAGTGAATTAAAATCAGTAAACTTCTCTACAGTGTGACCTGCTGCCCCCTGCTGGTGGGAACTGGGGAGAGGCAATGACAAATGTACCAAAATAAAAGCAGCTGCAATGTCAGGTGACGTGCAAGAGCCCACTGGACACAGGAAGTGTTTTAAATAGGTGAGGTCAGACGCCAGTGGGGACAGAACGCACTGTGGCCGATGAAGGGGGCGGGTCCTGGAAGCGTCAAGCCGATAAAACGCATCACGGTGACATCACATCAGACACAGACACGAAATCTGCGCATGCTCGCCAGGACACGTTATCAAGTACACCTGCTCAACTGCTCCTCAGAGCAAATATAGAAAGCCAATCACAGGGCAGCAGCTTAGGGATGAAGAGGAGCTGCCGAGGCTTAAACTGAGCACCAGAGTGATGAAGAAGAGTGACGTCAGCTAACGTGGCAGAGGTCAGAGGTCAGAGGAGTCTGATTCTCTGACCTGACCCTGCAGGAGCAGAACCAGGTCTGCCCCCTACAGGCGACACAGGAGTGCTGTTCAGTTATCGATCGTTCGATGGGACGATCGATAACTGAATCTGTGGAAACAGCCAGTGTGTGTGTGTGTGTACTCTCACCAGCACCTGCTGCTCCTGCTGCTCATCTCTGCTGCTCAGAGGGAAACACGAAGACCTGCGCACACACACACACACACACACACACACACACACACACACTGTTTCATTTCAGATACAGTAACAAAAGACAAGTTAATGCTAGTAAATCTCCACCTCAGTATTCAGTCTTTAATATTTGTGAACTTCATTAATTCTAATAAACTGAATCAGACTCGATTCTTCTCGGTGTTCACTTTTCTGTCTTTTTCTTTTTTTAATGTCAATGTCTTTTTTTGATTAAATTAAAAAGAGACTGTAGTTTGATGGTTTTCCTTTGAATACTTGCAGACTGATGTGTTCAAACGCTTTCAGCGCTGCCTGTTGACTGTTCCCTTAAATGATTCAGAGCTCTCTCCCACAGATTTCCGCAGACTTGAATTAGCAGATTTTAATTAAAATTCATTTAAAATTAGACTCTTTCAAAGTAAAAGCCTCACGGGGCTGGCCGTTGGTGGCGGTTAGGCTAGCAGCGTTAGCAATGGGCTAACCCGAGAGCCGCGGGATGGAGACTTCAAACCGCGTTAAAGTGTCAGAGAAACTTTAACTTTAACTCGGTGCCTCTCTGGGCCCTCTGTCCCGTACAGCAGCGGTCCAGTCTGAGACGGTTTTCCCTTTAACTAGTCAAAAAAAACAAAACAAAACGTTTTTCTGTTAACTTACCGGCAACAATTGGAAGGAGAATCACGTGAGAGTACTGGAAGTCTCGTTCTGTGATTGGGGAGGCCTCGATGACGTAATATCGCGGTTTAATTTTTTTTAATGTACCCCTTGTTCCTCTCTCCTGCATGCAAATGCATTCATTTTTAATTTTATTTTGTTGTCCTTTTTCTTCATTTCACGTATTTATTTTTGCTGGTTTTTTTGTTTTCTCTGTGATCCGTCTGTTTTATTATTTTCTTGTACAGATACAGTCAGAATTACAACAATCGGCATGATAACAACAAGCTGAAATTTAAATAATATTACCAAAGAAGTGAAATCTCCAAACTGAATCTAACTCATTTTGAAATGTAATCTGGTTTCTTTTGTTTTGTTGTCCCGCTGACTGTTCAAGGTTTGTTTTTTTACATGATGCTATAAAAACACCCATCTTCACTCTGACCACGCCTCTCTACAGGTGGATGCTGGATGTCATTAAAGGTGAAGATGACAGCTCAGTAGTGGCAAGTTACATCTCTAAGGCTACGTTCACACTGCAGGTCTTAATGCTCAATTCCGATTTTTTGATCAAATCCGATTTTTTTGTCTGCTCGTTCACACTACAAATAAAATGCGACAGCAAACGCGCTCTAGTGTGAACGCTCAAAGCGGCCCGCATGCGCAAAAGAAGACGTCACACACAACGCGCTCTGTTTAGACCCAGAGCAACAGTATTGTTTGACTGATGGCCCTTAATATAAAGACTTCGGACTTCACGTTTCCCAATTTTTGCTTTAAGTTATTTTGTTATTTATACAATAATGTAAATAATCTAATAATGATCCTTATTGCTGTTTAAGAGAGGAGCGGTGCGTCAAAGGATAGCTGCAGATTTCTGTCAGAATCTGCAGATTATACAGTACAAATAAAATGTTTACGTTGTCTTCCCAACAGTTTCACTGACATCTACACTGGATGGCCAGGAAGCGTTCGCGATGTCTTCTCGGGCGCTGATAATTGGCTTCAGTCTTGTGTCGGTGACGTAAAAGACGGATTTAATGCGACTTGACCGTTCAAACAGCAGTCGCTTTCTGAAACATCGGATATGTATCGGATTCAGCATCACATACGAAAGTGACCCAGATCGGATTTGAAAATATCGGATTTGCGCCGTTCACACTGTCACACCAGGATCGGATATGGGTCGCATGGGTCAAAAAAATCGGATTTGATGCGCTTTCGCCTGCAGTGTGAACGTAGCCTAACAGCAACAAGACGATCCTTCATTAGAGACAGAAACTTTCACCTGACACCTGAGAGATTACAAGGGCTGTGTCCCTGAGAACGCACGCTTGAAGTACACATTTTGAGTGCGGTTACGTCACCGCCACGCGATCCCAATTCGAAGTGCGCTTCAAATGCATGCTCCAAATGCGCCGTCGATTTCCCCAAATATCAAGCGTGGTCCGGTGCACGCTTCGTGGTCCCATATATCCCACAATTCATAGCGCGGCGGTGGGTGTGGAAATTTTGCCGCAAAATACGGCAGAAGGGAGCGGCCGAAGAGGTTTTTTTATTTTCCCCCCCAAACTTTATTGAAATCATAAAGCGAACAGTCAGTCATTCCAGTTCAGCTTGTACAGTAGACATACAAGGCAAATAAGAGTAACAACATACAGTACAATGAAATAAGAAGGATAAATAAATAAAGGATAAAAAAGAAAAAAGGGGGAATGTGACAGACTTCATAACAACTTTGTACTTGAAAGTTGTGACAGCTCATTCGTTGAACATTTCTGAATGAATTTCAATCAATGATAAACCTTTTTTATTGGAAGTTAATTTAAGAGAGTTTAAGTAATATTCAATTTCAATCAAAAACAAATTAAATGATGGGGTTGGGGGTTTTGAAATTTACATTTAGTATACACGTAGTGCGCGTACTTCAAGCGTGCAGACCCTGAATTGGGACACACCCAGGGAGTCTGATAAAGGCATATCCACCCTGAGCCTAACTTCACCTTTGACCCCACAGGTGTATTTTGCTTTCCCGGGACTGTAAATCTGTGTCTGAGGTGTCTTTGGCTAGGTCTGAATATCTGAAGTAGCTTTTCAGATTCACAAACTGTGAAGTTCTTATTCATCTAAGAATAAAACATCAAAAACTGCTCCTTGTGCTAGCTACAGCTAGCTGTTTATTTTCCAGACCTCCCGTTTACATTCCTGGGCGCCCCCTGTGGGTAGCTTCTTTAATAGCGACTATCATTACACAAACCCCTGCTGGTTCTTTTGTTGTGTCTCTTTGTATAACAGGCACGTGCAGAGGGGGGGG